ACCCCACTGCCTCCTGCACGTGGTCTTATAGGGAGACCCTAAAACAGCCTCGGGAGGGCAGGTCCTGGATCCTGTGCACCTTTGTGTCCTGTTACAGGAGGAGACGAGGTAATTTTCCAGATGAAGCAGTTACTTGCCTTGACTCCACTGGCCCTAACCCAGCTTTACCAGCTTTTCTCCCACCCTGCGTATTTTCTGGGGCAGCTCGTCATTCCTCAAACTCCACGCCACACATATTTGACTCTCAAAGCGGTCATACTGAAAGTTCCCCAAGGCTGGGGTGGGGGGGGGAGGTTCAGGCACACCCACCCTCTTATTTCCTCACGGGAGGATAGGACTTGAAGTTCTTAGCACAAATTTCCCCCAAGAAATCCTTCCCACCAGAATCTTTCCTCCTCCTCCTACTCTCCAAAAACTTTTTATATATATATATTTTAGAGATTTTATTTATTTATTTGACAGAGAGATAGAGAGCACAAGTAGGCAGAGAGGCAGGCAAAGGGGGAGGGAGAAGCAGGCTCTCCGCCGAGCAGGGAGCCCGATGTGGGACTCGATCCCAGGACCCTGGGATCATGACCTGAGCCGAAGGAAGACGCTTAACCGACTGAGCCACCCAGGTGCCCCAAACTTTTTATATTCTTGAAGTGCAAAAGAAGTCCTGGAATTTTTGAAGCTAAACATCAGATTTTTTTTTTTTTTTTCTTTTTAAGATTCCTCTTCTGGCACTCTGTCACATATATTTGGTGAGAGCTATAATACCAGTCCCTCTGGAGAAATTGAAGAGAGAGTGTTCTATTTAACATTAGGTTACATTCACTTAACAAATTCTATGTAGGGCATTCCATAAAGTAAGTTTATTTTTCTCATTTAATATTCTTGTCCTTTCAAAGCTTGAAAAGTCCCCACGCTGGTAAATGATGTTTGCAGTCCTTACTGATCGCACTTGGTGCTTGGCCTGCAGCACCAGCTCGGGGGTGTGTGCATTTCACACTTCAAAAGGACACTCTTGAAGGAAATAAATGCAAAACTAGGAAAACAAAATTGGGTATAAAAACAAATATTTACTTAGAATGAGAAAAAAATTATAACAAATCACAAATTTTAAGATGCTGGCTATACCACAAACATAAAAAATCCAGAAAAATTACATAATGTGTTTATGAATGAATGGTCTTAAACACACACCTCTATAGTGCCTTTTGAATTTTGATATGATCAACAATTCTGAATGAATATAAAAGATATCTGAAATTAAGTCGTACAAAAGAGTAATTAAAATACATTTAAAAACCCCCATATTGCATTAAGCTACTTGGTTGTATAATCACCTTCTTTTTTTTTTTTTTAAAGATTTTATTTATTTATTTGACAGAGAGAGTGCACAAGCAGGGGAGTGGCAGAGGGAGAGGGAGAAGCAGGCTCCCTGCTGAGCAGGGAGCCCAATGTGGGGCTCAATCGCAGGATCGTGGGATCATGACCTGAGCCAAAGGCAGACACTTAACTGACTGAACCACCCAGGCACCCTACTCTTTTTTTTTTTTTTTAATGATTTATCTATCCATTTCAGAGATAGAGAGAGAATGCTGGGGAAGGGGCAAAGGGAGAAAGAGAGAGAGAATCTCAAGTGGACTCTGGGCTCAGCATGGAGCCCGATGCAGGGCTCGATCCTACCACCCCAAGATCATAACCTGAGCCAAAACCAAGAGTCGGATGACAACTGACTGTGCCACCCAGGTGCCCCATGTAATCACATTATTCTTAATACTATATACATTGCTTTGTTTATAAATATGTATAGTAATTTTGGGTTTTTTTTGTTGTGCTCCATTGATGGATAATTTTTTTTTTATCTCATTTTGTTTAAAATGCTGTCCTATTCGGGATGTGATCCAATATATTGGGTTTTAAAAAATTTTTTTTTTAGATTTTATTTATTTGACAGAGAGAAACATAGCGAGAGCGGGAACACAAGCAGGGGGAGTAGGAGAGGGAGAAGCAGGCTTCCCACGGAGCAGGGAGCCCGATGCGGGGCTCGATCCCAGGACCCTGGGACCATGACCTGAGCCGAAGGCAGACGCTTAACGACTGAGCCACCCAGGCGCCCGGGTTTTTAAAAATTTTTAATCTTTAACTTTAATTTTTATTTTTTTAAGTAGTTTCCACACCCAACATGGGGCTTGAACTCCTGGCCCTGAGATCAAGAGTTGGATGTTCTACCGACTAAGCCAGCCAGGCACCCCTAATATATTGGATTTTTAAAATACATGATTAAACAAACATAGTCAGCATAGAACTGGTGTTGCTTTGTGCCCCACAAGCACAGGAATTCTGGTAAGTTCTATTTTGTGTGATTTACATAAAAGAATATTGTGGGCTTTTAACTGTATACAGAGCTTATTGAGTAGATTCCTGGCAGGACAGAACTTTTGTTTTGACTGGGCATGTGTGAGAATCAAATCCTTATAATTGTACATATCTGAAGACTGGCAGAATTTTTCACAGACTAGCTTCTTGCTTCATTATTTTGGAAACTTGTTTCTTCTTCAATCCCCATATACTTTCAATGCCCAGTGCAATAGGTCATGTTCATATTGCAATGTGACCCCTGCCATTGCCAAAGTGGGCAGCAGGAATAATGCCAGAAGCCATTCCTGCACCAGAATAGCTAGCAATAACTTAACCAGATGTGAAAGTAAACCACATAAATACAACCTTCGTAACCCAAACTCTATGGATCTTCAACTCAACTTCCCTTTAGCTGAATCCCAAACAGCCCATGGTCTCTCTAACACCACCCTACAGCAGGGCAAGTGCAAGAGAGGGTGAGTTGGAGAGGACAGAGACAGAGGTTTTATCTGATTGTGGGTAACATACTTCCAAGTTTTATAAAAGCGTATTACCATGTGAACACATTGCTTGGGCCCCAAACAGGGCCTGGAAAGAGGTGTGGGCACATGAGGGCCATGGAATATCATTAACTTCAAGATAAATCTGCCTTGCCACACAGGAATGAGTCCTGAATGAGCCACCTATTCACGGTACATTTATATTTACAGCATTGGTGCACTGGGGTGCTTGTGGGCAAATGCAGGTTAGTATGTGCTCCCACCAGCATTTAGCAGTTGGCTACCCTTCAACAAATTCAGGAATCAAATAGAATTTTCCTGTTTTAAGTTTCATTCCTTAGCCTCAATGCCTAAGGAAAGTTACTGACCTCATTAGTGTGTTCACATGCCACTGAAAGGTGTTTGCCTTAGAAAGTGAAGGCATTTTAGTAAAGTGGCAAGGAAGAGACTCATGGAAGGACCACGAAAGGAGTGGGCTGTGCTCTGACATTGGGCAAATTAAAGAGAACATGGTAAGGTGTCCTAATCATTGGCGTAAGCATTCTCTTTTGCACACTTGTTTGTCTATAAGGGAATAGTCCCAGGAATGATTTCAGCTGAAAGTAACAGAATACACAACTAACAATGGCTTAAATAATAGAGCTTAAATAATAAAGATAATTAATTCTTAGAACAAAAACTTTGAAGGTTGGTGATTTGCTAATTCTGATAAGTTTGTCATTTTCTCTCTGATTTTCATGATCAAAAGGCAGTTGCCATAGCTCCATAAATCATCCACCCAAAAGGAGAAAACGGGGGGAGAGGGGCAGTGAGAGAATGTGTACCTTTCCTTTTAGCAAGGAGGACAAATCTTTTCTAAACAGTTTCCCATCAGAATTCCTCTTTAGGTCTCATTGGCCCAAACTGAGCACATGGGCATCACTAGGTATAAGGGGGGATTGGGAAAGTGGGTCTGGCAAAGGAGCATGGGAGTTCCATGGTCAGCTTAGTCATGCTTCATTGTTCTGGGCTGGGTATATGGCTTCTCTGAACAAAAATATAGATTCTACTAATAAGAAGAAAAAGGGAATGGCTATTGGGAGGCAACTAAGGGTATATATATACAACTGAAACTTTTGTTAGGTAACCTAAACCGATCTTTTACTTGCCAATTACTAAACTATTGCAAATGGAGAACATACATGAATACAAACTATCATTCAGTTAGCCGGGACTCTGTGCCAGGATCTGGTGCTACATGTTAGAGATACATTTCCTGCAGTTAGCCCGCAAGATGGATATTATTATCATTATTTTCAGAGAGATTAGATTACCTCCCCATTAGGGAAATAAGTAGCTCTATTTTGATTTTATCATTAAAGTCTTTGCCTTTCTTGAACATCAAATAAATCATATACAATATTCCCTTTTGTCTCTTGCTCGATATTAGGCCTGGGATTCATTCATGCTGTTAAGAGTATCATCATTCATTTTTTATTGCTGTGTATTACTCTATTGCTTGAAAATATTACAACTTATTTACCCACTCTACTGTGGATATTTGGGTTGTTTCCAGTTCAGAGATATTATGAATAAAACTGCTTTTAACATTCTTAATATGTGTCTTTTGGCATTCCTTTCCGTTGGATTTACATGCAGAAGCAGCATAGGATATTTTTAGCTTTAGTAGATATTCTTTACATTTAAAGATTTTTAAATCTTTAATTAAATTTTCAATACTTAAATATTTTGAAATCTTTTAAAAGATTTCCTAAGTGGTTGTATCAAGTCACACTCCCACCAGCAATTTATGAGAGAACCATCTGCCAATGTTTGGTTTTGTTATAAAGAAGGTGATAAGACATATGGAAAAGGAAAAGTTGGGCAAGACAAGGGGGATTGCTAGGGCTGGGGGAAAGCGGAGCAGGCTGAACTTTCAAATACAGCAATTAGGATAGGCTTTTTTTTCCTTTTTTTTTTTTTAAAGATTTCATTTATTTATATGAGAGAGAGAGCATGAGAGGGGGGAGGGCCAAAGTGAGAAGCAGCCTCCCTACTGAGCAGGGAGCCCGATGCAGGACCCGATCCCGGGACTCCAGGACCATGACCTGAGCCGAAGGCAGTTGCCCAACCAACTGAGCCACCCAGGCGCCTCCTTTTTTTCCTTTTTGAGAGGGTGACACTGGAGCCAATCACAAAGGAAGGAAGGGAGTGAGCGGTGCAAACACGTGGCAACTGTTCAAGGCAGAGGAAAGAGCCAGTACCATGGCTGCTAACAGAGGCCGCCGTATCAGGGTAACAGGTCAGTGTGGAAGAAGAAGAGTGGGGGAGCCTGGGTGGCTCAGTCTGCTGAGCCTCCGACTCTTGGTCTCGGTTCATGTTATCACGGAGGTGTGGGATTGAGCCCCGGGTCTGGCTCTGCCCGTTCTGCGGGGAGTCTGCTCGAGATTCTCTCTCCTTCTCCCTCTGTCCCTACCCCTGCTCACTTTCTCTCCCTCCCTCCCTCTCTCTCTCAAATAAATAAATCTTTTCAAAAAAGAAGAAGAGGGGGGGAAGCAATAGAAGATAATATAAGAGAGGCAAATGGTGTGAGAGCATGCAGGGTCTTCAAAGACACGGGGACGACTTCTCCCTTTACGCTGAGTGACACGGGGAGTCACAACAGTGTTGTGAACAGATGAGTGACATAATCGGACTTACATTTTAAAGAGATCATTGTGGTGGCTGGGTTAAGTACAGGCTGCAGGATGGGGGCAGGGAGAACAGTTAGTAAGCTATCACAGGAGGGGATGGTGGCTTTTGGATCAGGGTGGTGGCAGAGGCAGTGTGAGACTGGTTAGATTCTGGGTATCATTTTTTAAAAAGATTGACTGATTGATTGATTTGAGAGAGAGAGCACGCATGCACACACACAAGCAGGTGGAGGGGCAGAGGGAGAGGGAGAGTGAGGGAAGCACGCTCCCCGCTGAGCCTGGAGCCCACCGCAGGACATGCTTCACCTCACAAGCCTGAGATCATGACCTGAGCCAAAACCAAGAGTTGAACCTTAACTGACTGAGCCATCAGGCGCCTCAGAGACATCATTTTTACTGACATCACCAGCTTTAGCATTAGCAATTCTATGGTAGTAATAATAGTTAGCATTTCTCAACCTCTTACTGTGTCTGTACTCTGTGTTTTATTAGCTTCATAAACTAAAGCTCAAAGATGTTAGGCAATCTTCCTAAGAACCCACATTTCATAAGAGACCAGGGGTTCAATCTTAGCTGTAGCCGATTTCAAAGCTAATGCTCCTAAAACTGCTTTATCGCTAGGCTCTGGTTTCCCTTTCTCCTACCCCAGTCAGTGCCTTATACATAATAGGTGATCGATACCTTTATATTGAATTCATTGACAGCATTCACTTTTTCCTGAACTTTGCTTCTGAGTTTTCTTAGAAATATGGTTTTACTGTTATATTTATGTACAGTGAACTTTACTTTTTTGGGTGTATAGTTCTATGACCTTTTAACATGTGTAGATTTGTGGAACCACTACCACAATCAGGATGTAGACAATTTTCATCCCTTCCCCCCACCTCAAATTCTCTTATGCTGCGCCTGTGTAGCCAAACCCTCTCCCACCCATAATTCCTGGAAACTACTAATCCGTTCTGTATCTTTACCGACTATAAATAAGCATTAGCGTATAGGTTTTTGTGTGAGCACAAGTGTGCAATTTTTTAGGGTAAAAACGTAGGCATGTGTTTGCTGGTTCATATGGGTCATGTTTCTTTAACTCTCTAAGAAACTACCAAATTGTTTTCTAAAGCAGATATAGCATTGTGCAAGTCAACCAGCACAGTTGCTCTGCATCTCTGTCAATTTTGTCTTTTACATATATCTTCGCCATTCTAATAGGCGTGCAGTGGTGTCTCATCATGGGATACCAATTATTTTTGCAATTTACAGTGAAAGCGTTTTTAGACTCCAGAATATAATTTATAGGCTACATTCCAAATGATTTGTAAATAAACATGGTACAGGCATTACTTTAAAAAATTTACCCACCCTGCCCTTTTTGACCCAGATACCTTTCCATTTGGAGATTGTGTTATTGTGATGTAACACATATAACCAACATAGCTTGCTTGCAAGACTTACAATAAGAAATTCCCTGTGAAATAGGCCTAGGATTTGCCTTTCTTTCAGGGATGTTGTAGAAGTTAGACAATCAAAGCTCATAAGATAATGAATGGAAAATTGCTTTAAGGGACAAGGACGTATGTTACTACTACTATAAAAAATGCAGTCACTTCTTAATTAAATGATCACTAAGTACCTAATATAGTGAAAGTATCATGTAAAATATGTTCTATGGAGAATATGAGTATAAAACAGAGCTTTTATCCTCATGGCATTTATAATCTAGTTATGCAGAGAAGTAAGATATTAAAACAATTTGAATAACTATTCTAGTAACACATGAAAACACATTATAAGGCTTTATCTAATTTTTTAGAATGATTGTACAATTAAATATCCCACATATTTGTCTATTACATACTTGCATAAGTTTATACGGTGCACTCTCACAAAGTATTTGTTCCCTCTCACAAGAGATAATGTATGAGGTCCGTAAGTCCAGGATTAGCTCAGGTCCCTAAGCAGGTGAAGAAATTTGAGCTGGGCACAGCAGAACAGGTGAGGTCTTGACATTAGAGAGGAGTGAGGAGACAGTCCAGGCAAATAAAGCGTCAAGAGCCGAAGTGCAGAGATGGAAAGTGCAAGGACATGCCTGACCTGTGAGCAAACCAGTCGGCTTATAGACAGAGGAGTACTAATTACAGCTGTCCTTAAGTGAGCACTGACCGTGGGGCAAGCACTGGGCTAAGTCTCATACACAGGCTACCTCATTAACATCTCAAGAACCCTATAAAGAAACTAAGGATCTAGAACCTTCCATACCATTACAGAGCTAATAACTTGTACACCTGGGGTTCTAAGCCAGACTGATTCTAGTCCTTAACCTTAGTGTTACACTGTAACACTAAACCTGGAAAAGAAATTTAAGGCCAGGCTGTGGGGGGCTGAGATGTTTGAACTTTTGCCCCGAGGACTTGTGGTTCTCCATCTTTTCCTCAGCCCTCTACATTTGAGTAATAGGGCAGGAACGACACCTCGATAGAAGTGGTCCAACATGAGCATGGTGTGGGGAGGAACATCAACATCTCTAGACTGTGTGTGGAAATGCTGCTCAACCTGTCCTGAGACAGTGTGTCTCCCTTTTGAGGATCACCGCTAGAGACCAGGGGGGAAGTCTGGAATTCTTAAACAGAGAACATAGAAGACCAACAGTGAGGGTCTGGGAGATGAATTTGGCAGCGAGGTCCGTAATGGATCAGTCACAGAGGTCCAGGCAACGGTCCACTGCAGCCCTACGACGCATGGGTGACAAGGCAGAGCTAGGGTGGGCAACAGGGACAGCTGTTTGGGAGGGAAATTGATAGGACCTGGTGACTAGAAGGATCTGGGGGTGGTGGAGAGGGAGGATTTAGGCGGTAAAGATTTTAGGGACTGTGGTTTCAGGAAGAGTGGACTGGTTCCTGCGGCATCCCAGAGCCCTCCACGCCTATTGTCACTTCAGCCTTGGCCACTAGAGGGCTTCCCCACCTCGTCTAGAGCCCAGCCTGATTCCCAGGCAGGGCGGGCAGCAGGACTGTTTAAAATCCAAGTCAGGCTAGTCCCTGGAGCTTCATGGGAGCTTGGGTTGACAACAGTTGACTTTCATTGAGACAGAAGGTTGGAAGGTCTCCCACTCGATTGACAATGGCTGGAAACGGGGCGTAAGACCTGTAGTGATGGATTACAGATGGCAAGCGTCGGTGTCCAGGTGGCCAGGGGAACAGGAGGGCGAGAGGAGGAACTCTCAGGTTTGAAGTTCTCCTAGACGCCCAGTCACGGAAGGCAGAGACCTTGCACAGCTGACCGCAGCTGGAGCAGCTGTGTGTGCCCGTGTGCAGGAGTGCGTGTAGGCAAGTAGGCAGTGTCTGCATGGGTGAGCGCCTGTGTGCGAGTGTGTCCGGGTGAGGACGCGCGCTCGTGTAAACATGTGTGCCTGCCTGGGAGAGTGCGGCACGTGTAAGCGTGCCTCCAAGTGTCTGTGTGCGCCTGCCCCGCAGGGGGAATGTTCATGTTTGTTGCTTGGCTTCAGCCCAGAACGCAAACAATGAGGTGAACGGAAATGAACTGGAGTCTGCTTCAGCACCAATCAGCTCCCATCAACTGTGACCTAGAGGAGATACAACAGACACAAGTGAGCCAAGACTGGAAAACTCAGGGACCTGGGTTGTACTGGGGTCTGAAAAGCCACGCAGCAGTGTCCTTGGAGGGCAAAGGCCGTCTTAGGATCAGGCTGAGGGGTCATTCCTGCCCTCAGATCCGTGCGTTCTTGGCCAGCAGCTCTGTGGGCCGGCCTTGGTCCTCCTAAAGGCCACTTCATTTTTCATGGGTTGACAGCTACCTGGCTCACCTTCCCCTGGCAGCTTTCTTGTTCCTTTTGTCAGGCTGGCCTCCAGCACGTTTCCCAGAGATGCGACTGCCCTCTTACTCCCCAGCTGCTCTGAGGAGCCTGGCTTTGACCTGGGTCTGCACTCAGTCATGTTGTCTCATCCTTAGGCTCTCCTTTTGCCACCTGTGACGCGTTGGAGGCAAAACGGTGAAGGCAGAAACAGGGACTATTTGGTGGGTTGGTGAGAAGGAGCTGCTCCTTAATCTCTAGACCTGTGTATATACGTATGTGTGAGTGAGTGGGAAAGGGTGATAGAAGGTGACGTTAGAGAACCCCGAGGCGGGCCTTCACCCTTCATAGCTGCGGTCCCTGGCTGTGGGTTCCCCACAGGCCCACAGACACTGGTTCAGCTGGAGCATGATTGTCCCCCAACTTGCTAAAGTGCATGCTTTATCCTTAGAGAACAGGGTCTTTCCTGGGGTCTCACAAGCCCTTTGTGAACACCAGGCCCCTTGAGCAGCATGACTATGAGAATTTTTTAAAAATCTCTCCATATGTGGCAAGTTCTCCTTATAGTTGTATACTTGAGTTGGGGGGGGGGAGGGCATTTCATCATTTCATTTACATCCTAATAAATCTAGAGAGTGGCTGCTCCTTAGAAATTATTCGTAACACTTCTGGTTTGTTGTTGTTCTTTAAATAGTCCCTGTTAGTCTTTAAATAGTACCCTTCAGGGCACAAGTGGCCCCATCCCGATTTCCTTTCTAATGTGGCTCTTCCTTCACAGTTCACTAGATTGAATAGTTGCGGAAGCTCTCAAACTTTAATTACAATAATAATAATAAAAAATATCCTGAGGAGCTTGTTTAATTTTTTCATTGTTGAATTTTAATAGATTTCTTTCTTTCTTTTTTTTTTAAAGTAAACTCTACCCCCAACATGGGGCTCAAACTCATGACCCTGAGATCAAGACTCACATGCTCTACCAGCTGAGCTAGCCAGGCACCCTGAGTAGCTTGTTTTAAAAGCAAATTGCTAAAATAAATAAATAACAAACAAAGAAATAAAGACAGATTTCCCATGCCCCACTCAGATCTATGGAATCAGAATTTCTGGAGACACAGGAATTTGCATTTTACCAACTCCTCCCCCACCCCCAAGATCCTAAGTCAGGTGGTCCAGTTTAGTTGGTTGACAGTCTGACTCTTGATTTCAGCTCAGGTCATGATCTCAGGGTTGTGAGATTGAGCCCTTCATTGGGGGGAGTCTGCTTGGGATTCTCTCCCTCTCCCTCTGCCCTCCCCCGCCCCCCCAAATAAGTAAATCAATCTTTTAAAAAATTTTAAAAAAAGAATACATGCTGTGAAACGTGGTGCTGAAAGATGCCTTGGATACATTTTTTTTTTTTTAATGTTGAGTTTCTAGAATTTTTATATATATTCTAGACACAAGGCCTTTGTTGGTTGTGTGATTTGTAAATCTTTCCTCCTGGCCTGTTGCCTTTTCATCCTTTTACAGAGTTTTTCATAGAGCAAAAGTGTTTAGTCCAATTTATAAATTTTTCCTATTATGGATCATGCTTTTAGGGTCAAGTCCAAGAACTCTGCCTAGCCCTAGGATCCCAAAAATATTCTCCTGTGTTCTTTTTTACAAGTTTTAGAGTTCTATGCTCACAGGTGAGTCCATGATCCATTGTGAGTTAATTTTCGTTTTAGGTCTTTTCTTCGTATTAATTTTCATTAGGTCTTTTAAAACCTCACACTCTGAGGGTCCAATTTTTCCAGCACCATTTATTGAAAAGGCTATTTCTCCTCTGTTGGATTGCTTTTATTCCCTTATCAAAATTAGTCGGGGGCGTATTTGTGTGGCTCTAGATCTCGGTTCTTTATTCGGTTCCACTGATCTATGTGCCTCTTCCCTCTACCAGTTCCATGCTGTCTTAATACTGTAGTTACACACGAGGCCCTACTGTTGGGAAGAGTGGTTTCTCCCACTTCCTCTCCTACTTTGTTTTTCAACATTGTTTTGGCTGTGCTAGAGCCTTTTCCTTTCCATATAAATTTTGGAATAAACTTGTCAAGGCCAGCAAAGAAACTTGTTCAGATTTTGATGGGAATTATGTGAATACTGATCAGTTTTAGGAAAGGACTGTATTTTTTTTTTCTTGCAGCAGAATTTTTGGAGAGCAAGGTTTAACCAAAGCAGTTCTAAAATCTTACCTTGTTAAACGTTTCTTGCCTGAGATATACTTTTACTTATACTTTCTAGCTGCAGAGAAGAAACTATGTGGAAAAATTGGGCAGCTAGAGTTGCTGCAAGGTTCACTAATAAACTTTGTTCCAACCTAGACTCCTGGAAACTAAGTAGACTCAATGCTTTCAATTGGCTCCTTTAGGGCACACTGTAGCTTCTTGGGATTCCCCTGCTGTCTTGAGAAAACAGAACAGAGATGCCTGAAGAGAAGGAGGTTGTACTTCTTGAGTCTGTGAGAACCAAATGTTTACTTCATTCCCTCGATCCTCACCTCGACTTTGTCAGAGACAGGGAATTGAATGAACTTGAGGGAATTGCTCCAGGGTGGGGAGATGTGGTGGTGCAAAGAAGATGGTTTTGTCGAAGGTCTTTTAAAACCTCACACTCCGAGGGGGGTCTGGGGGGTGCAGTCAGCTAAGCGTCCGACTCTTGATTTCAGTTCAGGTCATGATCTCAGGGTCACGAGATTGAGTCCCTAGTTGAGCCCCCCCGTCAGGCTCCATGCTCAGTAGGGAGTCTGCTTCTCTCTCTCTCTCTCTTTGCTCCTCCCCCTGCTCATGCCTTCTTTCTCTCTCACACTCAAATAGATAAATAAATCTTTAAAAAACCAAAAAACCAAAACAAGAAACCCTCACACTCTGCAGTGTCTGTTCTTCATACTCCTTGTCCATTAGGGAAGCAGCTGTCAACATGAGGAACTCCTTTTCTTCAGCATCACTCTTCCTCCCAGTCACACCGTTTAGTTCTCCAATCTGTTCTTATTTTTAGTCAGTGACTCAGATATTTGGCATGTTAACGTTCATGTTAACACCAGATGAAGTGAACCCAGTTGCATTTCTGTCCTCATCTCAAAGTTGGCCCCAAACTAGTTCAAAGAATCTCTGATTTTTTCCTTGGCCAGTGTAAGCTCTGTGTGTCCCTTTAGTGATCTGCAGCATCCCGGCCTTTGTGACATCCAGAGAGCGGCAAGGACACATTTGATGAAAGGGACTACATACCCAGAATCTGCCCTCAGAACAACATAATCTTGGGGCGCCTGGTGGCTCAGTCGTTAAGCGTCTGCTCTCAGCCCAGGTCATGATCCCAGGGTCCTGGGTTCGAGCCCCGTATCGGGCTCCCTGCTCCGCTGGGAGCCTGCTTCTCCCTCTCCCACTCCCCCTGCTTGTGTTCCCTCTCTCGCTGTGTCTCTCTCTGTCAAATAAATAAATAAATAAAATCTTTAAAAAAAAAAAACACCTTAATTTTGACAGTGACAGTTTTCTTAAAGCACCCCCAGTGCTTTAAGATGTTCTTTAATTCTGAACTATATAGAGGTAATCGAAAGATGTGTGGAGAATGACTAACTCCCCATGTGGAATGAGAACTGTATCCAGTTATCTAAACAGTTAATTGTATCAGTAACATCCAAATGTGGTAGCCACACAAGAAGCTTCAAGAAGTATCCAGTGTGTTGTCAGTTCAAATGTCTGATCTTAGGGAATTAGTGACACCCTTAGTCGGATCTGGCTAAAGAAATGACTTTACCAAAGCTCAATAACCTCTTTCTCAACGCCTCCCCCAGTTTTCTTTCTGTATTACTTACCCATCCTCTTACGTCTTCTGCCATGTGACACTGGAATGGTTCCTTCTAAACGTAAACTGTAACTGATGTGGTCATCTGGTCCCATGTCCCCCAGGCACTCCTTCCTGTGAGAGCATCTCCAGGGCCTGTGGGCTGGAACCCCAAGAAAATGAGGGTGCTGAGCTAACCCAGAAGCTATATATTCTGTCTGTATTCTCCCCTTGGACAATGAGAGCACACAGCTGCCTCGCTTAGGGCTTAGAGAAGCTTGTAGGGAGGGCTCAGGGCTATGGAAACAGTAATACTCATGTGACTAAGGCATCCACTGTCTGTCCTTTGCTAAACTCGCTTCCATCACTAATGCAAAAATTACAGCCATCCTCCTTCTCCCCCACCATTTCTGCCCCAATTACCTCCTCTCAGGCTGGCCCGACTTTCTCCCGAGATTTGCCAGAGGAAGAGGGGATCTTTTTTGGTATGCACAGGAGAGCCCTAGTTTCCTAGTTACACTACTCGATCCTTCCTTGTGGCAAGCTTCTTCTACTAATTGCAGAGCTCTGTGTTCACAGGGGCTCACTTCTTTCAGTGCTTGCTCTCTGCAGAAACAGGCCCAGCTGCTCTTTGGGGGATGGTATCTCTCATTGACATCTGCGTGGACTCCGTCTCTGTAGACTGCAGGGATGTGAGTGGTTTTTATGAGAGTGGCTTTTATGGTAGGAAGTGAGAAGCTTCCAGATTGCACATAACCTAAAACAGGTTTTCCTCACTGAACAGAAGTCATTGATACTTCCTGTGTTGCAATAACAAACATCCGTCCTTCGGGCTCATTAGGGATGTGGGGCTGGGGGGATTGGAGTGGGAGGTGGGGGGGCTACACTTTCACGCTGGCTCCATCTACAGAACACTTCCTACAGGTCCCTTCCTGCTTCTATAATCTTGGCAGTACAGAGCTGCCACTGTTCCTCTTTGCAGAGCCCTGTCTGGGCTCAGCACCTCCCGTGCGCTAATTTCCCTCTTCCTTACGCAATCCAGCTGCCTGTTGAGCCTTCTCTCCCTGTATTTACAGCCACCTAATCAGCTGGTAATTTACTTTCAAACAGTGCCAGATTGGGCTCCTCAGATTCAGATCTCTTCTTTCGTTCAGTGAGGAAATGCTTGCCTTTCCTTTTTACCATTCGCTTTCCATATTAGCTGCCATGTTGTGCTGATCAATAGTCCTTTAAATGGGAAGGTATAACCCGCAGTTCAAGAGAGCATCTGTCCCAAGCTGTCCCGGTTAAGACATATCACAGGCAAGTTCAAATACCTGGGACTGGGGGAGGGTCTTTCATGACCAGTCCTATGTCCAGTGTCTCAAGTTCTTGAGTGGTGAGTGTCAAATCTAGATTGCTAGAAACTTCTTGTTATTTAATTCCAAGCAGGAATTCATTTCCTTGCTGGCTGCCTGTAAGGACCATCCTGAATGGTTAGGGATGGGGGAAAGGTGGTGCAGGGTTGTGGCCAAGGTGGCTATCCCTAAGATTTTAGCTACATCAGGTTGAAGAGGCTGTCTGCTAAAGTGTGAAAAAAACTGCAGCCTATAACAATAACAGATCATTTTTGTGGCTTTTGAGGCTGTTGAGTCGCGTGGAAGAGAAATTAAATCGAGAAGATGAAGAGAGCTGACAAGAGGAGAGTCAGAGACTGAATGAGGGCTGAGGGTCAGTTCAAGTGCATCCACCCACTTACCCCTCATGCAGGTGTTGGGATGCTTTGCTGGACAGGGGACGTGTTCTCAAATATGACTGACGTGAGTGATCCATCAGTTTTACCTCTCTTCCAGAAAAGATCTCCTACGGGACACCATGGGGCTGGGAAACCCTTGCCTCCTGCCCATGCCTCCAGCTACCTGCTCTTACCAGAAACCATCATGCTCTCTCTGGCTCTTGAGCCTGAAGATCTCTCCCTCTTCCCAAACCCATTAACATTAATAATTATTAATTATAATAAATAATATATTGAAAATATATTATATTCTTAACATTACATTAATATATGTTAATATGTTTTTGTACATTTATATTAGCATTGTGTGTTATTATATAATAATATCAATATTATACATAACATAAAATTAATAATATATAGGTATATTATATAAAATTTTATTTATTTATTTGGTCTTGGTTTTATTTTTTTAAAATTTTTTAAAAGATTTTATTTATTTATTTGACACACAGAGAAAGAGCGCACAAGCTCTCATCAGGCAGAGGGAGAGGGAGAAGCAGGCTCCCCAGTGTGCAGAGAGCCCGAGGCAGGGCTCAATCCTAGGACCCTGGGATCATGACCTGAGCCAAAGGCAGATGCTTAACTGACTGAGCCACCCAGGCATCCCTGGTCTTGGTTTTAAATGGAAACTTCTTCAAGCTGCTTTCCCTACCTCCAGCCCCTCCAGACCCTGGTCAGGTGCTCCACCTCTTTGCCCTTAGAGCTCTGTATTCATAGATAATGTGCATCCATGTACCTTTTTGTAACCCTCATTCGATTGTAAGCCTAACATGAAAACCAGAAGGATGTGTATAGTACAAGATCTAGCACACTGAGCCATCCAAAGAGTTGCTGAGCTTGGTTATGGAGATGTAGCCAGGTTGGTACATCCAGTGTCTAGAGGGTAGGGAAGGGCCCTTCATAAGTCATGTAGCAGTTACTGAGAGTATTTCCCATGTTGGGTACATGATTCCTCCAAAATGACCAGAGCATGGTTGGAAACTGAGGGTAGGAGGTGCTCAAGAAGCAGGAGAGTGAGCAGTCAGTCATTTGGGAGATCTGTCCTCAGAGTTTAGTGGCCTAGCCACCAGTCTGGGGTTTAGGGTCAGGGCTCTTCTCAGGGGGAGGGCTAACAAGGGAATGAGGGAATAGCAGGCCCCCAGCTTAGGCCTGGTCCTGAGCCTGGGCACCTGAGGAGGAATACAAGGAGCACAGGATCCCACTGGTTGCCACTGGGACCATTGGATCCTGGCTGAGCTCAGCAGCAGAAGTGGATCCATCCATTTTCAGATATGCTAAGGCCGTGGGGCCAGGAAGGAGACTCAACTACACAAAGTCTGTTAAGTCCTTCCTACTCTTACACCTCAGAATTGCCTCTAGGGCTTAATAAAAATTAGATTCCTAGGCTCCACCTTACAGTTACCAAAACAAAACATCTGGAGATGAGGTCTCAAGTCTGAGAATCTTTAGTGGGGTAACAATGGGCTCTGATAGGATGAACTAGAGCAGGCAGAACCAGGAAAATGAGGTAGAGTTCACGTTGGAATCAGCGGGCAAACTCTCCCATCTGTGGACTAATTCTGCCTATATTCGTTTGCTAGGGCAGCTGTAACAAAGTATCACAAAACTGGGTGACTTACACAACAGAAACATGTTGTCTCACAGTTCCAGAGGCTAGAAGTCCAAGATCAAGGTGTCAGCAAGATTGCGTCCTTCTGAAGCCTGGGAGGAAGAATCTGTTCTATGCTCTCTCTAGCTTCTGGGGGTTTCCTTCCAATCTTTGCTGTTCATTGGCTCACAGAGGCTCACCCCATCTCTGCTCTCATGTTCATATGGCATTCTTCCTATGGTGTGTCTGTCTCTGTGTCCAAATTTCTCCTCTTTGTTGGAGATAAAAGTGTCATTATTATTGGATTATGATCTTCTTTTAACTTGATTACCTCTATAAACACCCCATTTCCAAAAAAGGTTACATTCCGAGGTACTGGGGATTAGGGCTCCAACATATCTCTTTGGGGGGACATATTTCAACCCATAACACTGACCAAGTGGTAGAATTGGTTGGGGAACTGTAGAAAGGTAGTAGATTCTTATGAGTCCAAAATTTGAGAGCTGCTTCTGACATGCTCTCAAAACTCTTAAGTTTGAGAGGGACACCTGGGTGGCTCAGTTGGTTAGGCCTCTGACTCTTGATTTTGGCTCAGGTCATGATCATGGGGACCTGGGATCGAGCCCTGCATCTGGCTCCATGCTCAGTGGGGAATCTGTTTGAATGCTCTCTCTTCGGCTTCCTCTGCCCCTCCCCCCACCCACACGCACACACGTGCACACATGTTTTCTCTCTAAAATAAATAAACAGATCTTTTTAAAAAACACAACATTTGGAAATTTCTGGAAAAGAAAAAGAAAAATTCACAGGTATAATCGAAAGATCCACCATGAGACATAAGTAACTCTCAAAAATAAAATTCTGATAACACAAGTGAAAATGATCCTGAAGGAATTATTGTGCCTGCAAAGAGTTCTTTGGTGAGTTCTTACTGTGAAGAGTCCCTGGTGATGGAAGAACTGTTGGTGGAAGGAGTACAGAAAAACACAATAACCTGTAGAAGGAAGCTAAGAGTGAAACGCATCTTATAAAAATTCTGAGGGCAATAAAATGAGCTTTGTTATACATGTGTAGAGTAAGGAGAACAAATGTGGAAGAGATGATGGATGTTAACTAAGCTTACTGAAGTGATCATTTTGTAGTATACACATATATGAAATTGTTGTGTTATATACCTTAAACTTATTATACAAGGTTATATGTCAAATATACTTCAATAAGGGGCACCTGGGGGGCTCAGTCAGTTGAGCGTCTGACTCTTGGTTTCATCTCAGGTCGTGATCTTGGGGTCATGAGATCGAGCCCCGTGTTGGGCTCAGCGCGGCGTCTGCTTGAGATTCTTTCCCCCTCCCATTGCCCCTCTCCCCGTTCGTGCACATTCTCTCTCTCTCTAAAAATAAATAAATATTTACTAGAGAGAGCACGTAAGTGGGGGAGAGGAGCAGAGGGAGAGGGACAAGTAGATTCTGCACTGAGCACAGAGCCCAACGTGTGGGTGGATCTCACAACTCTGACATCATGACCTGAGCTGAGATCAACAGTCAGACACTTAACCAACTCAGTCACCCAGGTGCCACAGTAAATAAAATCTTAAAAAACCCCACAAATAGGAGTGCCTGGGTGACTCAGTCATTGAGTGTCTGCCTTCGGCTCAGGTCATGATCCCAGGGTCCTGGGATAGAGCCCAGCATCGGGCTCCCTGCTCAGCAGGAAGCCTGCTTCTCCCTTTCCCACTCCCCCTGCTTGTGTTCCTGCCCTCACTATCTCTCTCTGTCAAATAAGTAAATAAAATCTTTAAAAATAAATAAACAAAAAAACAACGCCCCCCACAAATACACCTCAATAAAACTGGAAAAGAAAAGAAAATGTGAATTGAATAAAGAAAGAAAAATATTGATTTTTGTTTTTAATAAATGATTTTTATCATAAAAAGACAAATGTGGAAGAGACACTATATGGAGCAGAAAGTATATCAGCAGATGACAGTAGGCATCTGTCTATTTTGTTATGGATTCTTTAATAGAAAGAATAAATTTCAAATTGTAAAGGCAGATCAAAGCTAGGGAAAAAAGGAAAAGAAGCCAAATATAGATGAGATGACAGAAAAAAAATCACTTAGCTGTCTTCAATGAGTTAAAATATTTTTACTAGACTAGCAGTTGGTAAATTTTTTCTGTAAAGGTGATATTTTAGACTTTGTGGGCCACATGGTTTTGGTTGCAACTACTCGACTCTGCTTTTGTAGTGTGAAAGTAGTCATTGGTGATTTAGAAACAAACAGGTGTACCTCTGTTCTAATGAAACTTTATTTATGAAACAGGCAGCCAGCCAGATTTGGGCTGGGCTGTAGTTCATAGATCTTTGCACCAAAGCAATGACAACCCCAGAAACCTGAAAGAATCATTCTTGGTCATTCCTGAGGAGTCCTGCAAGAAAGAGCAAATACCTCGAATCTGGAGAAGGACAAAGGATAAGAAGAGGAGATTTTAAAATTTACAATCCATTTAGTTTAGCATTGGTTTCTGGCACATTTCCAGAACAAATTATTAGATAATCCCATTCAGCAAATATTATTTGAATACCTACTGAGCACTGTCTAAATTCTCAGTGGTAACAGATAGCCTTTGCCCTCAAAGAACCTTTAGTCTCAAGGAGAGAGTAGGTGATCTTATAAGAAGTGATTTCAGGGGTACTGAATGTTCTGAAAAGGGAAGGGTATGGGGCAAATGGTCTAAACAAAGAGATCTAACTTAGTTTAGCGGGGGTCAGAAGCCTCCCTGAAAAACTTGAAATTTGAAGTTTGAGGAATTAGGGTGGACAGGGGGACAGGGTAAGAAAGCATTCTAAACAGAAGGAAGGACTCATGCAAAAGCCCAGCATCAGAGGGAATCCTCAAGGCATCGAAGTAAATGGAAAAGTGTACAAATGGCTGGAAGTGAGAAGGAGAATGGAGCAGGACCAGCTGAGCCGCAGGCCGGAGCCAGGCTCAGGACTGTGGACTTGGTTATTTCTCTGCTACACCAGCCTAGCAACACTGGCAAGAGTGGAAATGAAGTAACTGACAAAACTTTGTTCTTAGTAAGATCGTATTGGCCCCAGTCATCACATTCCCCTTCTAGACATTCAAAAGTCAACCTCTTAGCTGCCTCTCCTTCTAGTCCTAGCTCCTTCCAATCACACCCCACTCCCATGCATCTCTAAGATTCAAATCTGAGTATATCACACCCATGCTTAAAATCCTACAATGGATTACCATGCTCCTTGGGACTTCATATATTTGAATTTTAACAAGGCATTTAATTCAGTCTTTTATGATATCTTTGGGCAATAAATTGAATTGGTAGCTGGAGGTAGAGTCTTTAATGGAATACTGTTAAAGGTCTTTAATGGATTGCCATGGGCTCATGTAAACTCCTCTGAAGTCATGGCATCCAGACCACGTGGCCTGCAAGATCTCTATATCAGGCGAATAGAAGAAGAGAAGAATCACATTGGCTCTTTAATGACTTGGCCCAGAAGTGACATCACCTTCATTCACAATCTATTGGCCAGAGGTAGTCACATGGCTCCAACCCAATTACAACAGAGTCTGGGAGAAGTAGGGGAGGACATGGCATATTTGGCAAGAACTGTCTTTGCTACAGTGTGCTTGTTGAGTCTATGTATGTCATAAAATGTGGGTGGTTAGTTAATATGCCTGATAGGACAATTAGCATTCAAAAATACTTCAACCAGGTAAAAGAATATATCTAAACTAACCAAGAGATATTTAGGAGGATTCAAAATATAATCCTATACCTAAGTTAAATTAAAAATGAACCATTCTAGGGCGCCTGGGTGGCTCAGTTGGTTAAGCGACTGCCTTCGGCTCAGGTCATGATCCTGGAGTCCCGGGATCGAGTCCCACATCGGGCTCCCTGCTCAGCAGGGAGTCTGATTCTCCCTCTGACCCTCCTCCCTCTCATGCTCTCTGTCTCTCAATCTCTCTCTCACAAATAAGTAAAATCTTAAAAAATTTTGAAAAAAAAAAAAAGAAAAAAAAATGAACCATTCTAGTACGAGGTGAAAAGTTTCTTGCTTGATGCATTTCAAGTTAAAGAGAAATGTACAAATGGTTTTAATTAACTACATATGCAATATGAATCATCAAGGTCTGCCAAAGAAACCTAAAGTAATCATAACAGCCTTAATGGATGTATAGAGTTTACTATAAAGTAGATAACAATTGCCTTATTCTCTTGGCTGGTTGGAATACACTTGCAAGTGGGTTTGACATTAGGGGCTACATTTGAAGAAGAAATCTAAGAATCTGGAATGAATCCAGAGGAAGGTAAGTGGGATAGGAAGGGTTGTTGAAAGATGTGGGGAAAACACTGGACTGGGAATTAAGAGGTTTAAGTTTTGGATCTGCCATTTCTAGGTGACACCGGGCAGAACACACTCCCTACCCAGCTACACTTCAACCCCCTAAACCTCATCTTCCTCCTGGGTAAAGAAGGAGATCTGGACTTGAGTTTCTGAAATCCTTGTCAATTTGAAAGTTTGGCAGCTATGAAATTATGCTATCTGAGAAGGGCCAAAGGAATCTAGGGATGTGGAGCCTACAACAGGAAATACTGAAAGGGGACATAAAAACTTTTTAATTATTTGAAGGATTGTCATGAGGAAAAGGAATTAGATTTGCTCTGTATGTCATGCAAGAACAGACCTATGGCCAAAAGGAAGAGGATACAGAGAATATTGTGAACACTGGTACTTCCTAATGATGCAATGGACTTCCATGTGAAGCAGTGACCATTTAGGGGAAGCAGGATATAAATTCCCTTCCAGCCTCTCCAAAAGTACTTGGTACAATCATACATATTGGTGTGAGAATTGTATTAAAAATTCCATCATGAGAACATGTACACACCCATAAGAATTTCTTCAGACTTACTTACCTCCGATCCACCTACTCTATATTCCTCATCCATCAGCATCCTGGGTATCTTCTTGTATGGCTCAGTATCTTTTATTCTCCTTCTTGCTTCTGCGATTGACAAACTTATTTGGTCCTCTTTTTCCGGGTCTTAATGTTGGCCCCTCTTTAAGATGTGACTTTATCCGTCCTTTGATCCTTCAGACCACAACTTTGGGCAATAGGTACCACAGTCGGTGATCTTTCCTAGCTAACAGAACAATTTGCAATTAAATTGCTATTCATTTGGCCCCCATCTCACATAGGAGGTGTATAGAACACAAAAGACTCCTTATCAGCACTGCATAGAAAAATCTTACATTAGGTGGGAGGTTGGACTTCATGACCACTAATGTCCCCCTTTATTTTCAGATTCCTTTTTTTTTTTAAAGACTCATTTACTTATATTAGAGAGAGCGAGAGAGTGGGGCGTAGAGGGAGAGGGAGAGAAGCAGAATCCCCCTGAGCTCAGAGCCTGACACAGGGCTTGATCTCATGATCCTGAGACCATGATTTGAGCCCAAATGAAGAGTTGGATGCTTAACTGACTGCACCACTCAGGTGCCCCTTATTTTCAGATTCTGCGACTTTCTTATTTATATTTGTCACTGTTCACAGGAAGGGCAATACATAGAAAGTTTTCAGTGACTCTTTGTCAGTAGTAACGCTCTTCCAAGAACACCACCATTCAGTTAAGTCACATATATGTAGAGATACTTTTGCTCTTTGATTTTGCCACTGAACCACCTTCAGCAGATCATAGGCAGCTCTTGGAGCAGTGGAGATGAGACAATTCTTCCTCATTTACCTTCTTGTCTGGTGTCCTATATGACCAATGGGAGCCTATGAAGTACAGCCAGCTAGAAAAGAGGAGGGGTAGGATTTGTCATGGAACAATGCAATACTGATGGCCACATGATCAAACCATGGCTTTGGCCTCCTTGACCCTTTGAGCTAACCAAGAGTCAATGCTCTTTGAAGGATTGTTGGGAGGAAATTATGGCCACAGTTTTGTTGATCCTGGAATGATTCAATTCCAGTGGAAAGTAGCAGAAGGCTAGGACTCTGGCCCATACATATTCTGTATAGTGGATTCTCCTCTTCATGGTGATCCTATAAAAAAAAAAAAACAACCAAATCTGATCATATCCTTCCACCAATACTCTTCAACTGCACCTATAATAATACCCAAACTCTGTATCATGACTTAAATAGTCTGATTCCTGCCCCTCTCTCCAATAGTTACTTTTTGAGGGCAAAAACCTTCTCTGTGTCCTGCTACATCTGCAGTGTTGAGAACAGCACTTGGCGTATACTTTAATAACTATTCATTGAATAAACGAATCTAGACTTGACTTCAAAGAACTTTACTAAATTTATATAATGGAATCTCTCATCACTAAATTCTAAGAAATTCTATCCTCATATCTCCATTATGCTTTGGGGATGAAAAGCATTATTTGGATTAATAATAGGATAGCTGAAGAAGTGAAGAATAATGTCATGTCCAGTTCAAACTCCTTGGGAGAATCTGGTTGGGAGAATGGAATTACCCAAGTTGGACTCTGCCCAGCACACGAGGCTTAAGTTATTGGGTAAGAGTACATTAGAAAAATGAATTTGGCAGCTGACGAAATAGTCTCTTTATGTGGAAATAAGTGACCTTGGATTTAGTTTCTTTTAAAGGCTGGCTTTCTCTGGCAGGGGCAAGAGATGATACTTTGAAAGAGCCAGCATTTTGCAATGATAGCAGCAGTCCCAGGAAATTTGTGGGTGGTTATAGAGCATCTATTTTTCAGCATCCATTAGGGTAGGAATGCAGTGGACCAAATCTGCTTTTTGTTTTGCCAATGTTTAGCCTCTTCACTTGGGGAATCCCCCATGATTGTGGCTGACTGTAGTCCAAGATTCTTGAGCTGCCCTGAATCAGATACCTATGGGCAAAAAGGAAGACATTTATTGCTTCCTTCCTTTTTCTCTTTTTTTTCTTCCTCCATTTAATTTCCCACATTGTCAGTGAATGAGTCAAAGGTTCAATATTTTTTCCCCCGAGACTGACTTTGGAAAAGCCAATGCAGTGCATCATACTATTTCTAAACTAGTTCATCGTGACATTCTGGGATTTTGATAGGACATCTTTTCTGTGTCAAGCCGTCCTAGGGTAGCTCATACCCTTTGTTCACTTTTGACAAGATAGATGGAAGGCAGGGTGATAACACAGCAGGATGAAAGGGAGAAAGTGACCTTAGGAAGGGTGTATTCATGGCCGTTGGGTGCAGACGGTGCAGACAGAGCTGAAGGAGTGGTAAAAGGCCTCCTTGTCTGAATACCCCATATTGCAGCAAGTCCCTAAGGCTGGAAAAGAATTTAAACAGTGGAGGCCTTCTTTGAGGTATTTATATTCTCTGCTAGTAAGGTCATAAGTAATCACATTGATTGTGAATCCAAATAGAGCATATGGTGTCAGTCATGTTGCGATTTGAAGGCAAATACCCCAAAATACCTCCTCCACCAGCTGGTCTGGTGTCTACAAACTCTACTCACATCCTTTCTTTGTGTAAAAGTCCCATCTCTCAAAAACCCTGAAAAAATGCTGTTATTTCACCTGGGAGGGGATGGAGGTCAGTTGACAGGATCGGGCTTGGCTTATTTCGCTGTCAGAAAAAAATGCAAGCGTAATTTTAACTAGGAAGTTTGGAATGGGGTGGGTGAAGTAGGTCAGCACGCAATTGCTCTTGCAATGGAGTGCTCTGGGAAGGCAGGACCAGCAATAAAAGACACTTGTTTGGGGGAACCAGTGAGGTGAGTCACAGATTAGTGACAACATGTGCAACCTATGAAATGGTTATTGCTTCACTGCTCCCCTTCAGATCTCACCCAAGAACATCTCTTGTGGCCACTCTAATGGGAAACATGCAGGGAAGGGAATTCTGGGAAATGTAGTTCAGCCTCACCAAGTTAACCTTTATCAAGCCACCATTCCAGGTCAGCTGATTCCATATCCTGTGGCCTTTCCATAACACCACATTGTCCCTTTCCAAATGAACTTTTAAGTTACTTGTTCAACCTTTAAACCCACGAAAGACATTCTTCGTAGTCCCACCTAGTTTGAGTAATGATACCATTACAGGCCTCGAGAGGAGCTGGCTAGTGGCTTGGGGGCAGCATGCATGAGAAAGAATAGGAGTTCAACATCTTCTAGAGTAGATCCAAGAACAGGCTAAACTCTGGCTGCAAAGGAAAAAGGTCTCATCTGTGGGGTGTATACAGTAGGGGTCAGGTATTTTGTTCTTCATGTATGTCTAGCCCTGCAACACCCCCTCTCACATAGCCAGTCACCAAGTACAATTAGGCAGTTTCCGTCCCACACAGAGAGGTCCAAACAAGGGGAGGGGATGGGAGTGGCTAAAATATAGCCCTGCTTCTCTCACCAGGCTCAGGGATGCTTCAGCCTTGAGGAATGAAAACTTTTCCAATCCATGGGCCTAGAGGAGGCAACTTTTTACAGTTCACACAAAGGCGCTGGATGTGTAACTGTGTCCCTTGAATCACTTGCCTATAGCGGTCTCACAAGACTTCTCTTCTTCTCCCTTGAGAAAGCCCCTGGACTTCACAGACTGCCCACAACTAGCTCAGCTCCTGGAATCCCTGTGTGGAGCTTGAGTGTACCTCCATGTGAGGAAAGTAAGAGCTGAGATGAAGAAACCAAACAAACAATTTCACACTAGTCCTTTCAAAGCATCAAGACAATGACAACTTCATCACGACTTTGAAGAATTCCTCCTTTCTCTTTTGAGGGTCAGCAGAGCATTTCAATAAGAAAACTGAGCTTGAAATACAAGGATGTGTGTGTATGTGTATGTGTGTGTGCGTGTGTGTGTGTGTGTGCTGTAGGAAGTGAGGTAATGCAAGTACATTTTGAAAGAACCAACTTCCTATCAAGATAGAAGGCAGACTGTTGATTGATTTGGGCTATATATGGCCTGTGAGCTCATATAGCAGGAACACGCCTTGTCAGGATGCCCTGATAGCTTACTATCTACTCAGGATGATTTTTTCCCTTGCTGCCTGTAACAGCTCAGTTCTGCCTGCTGTAGCACTTCCAGCCTTTTGCTCTGATGCTCCTCGGAGCTTCCGCTTTGGTTCTTATAGCCCGGCACCCTCCTGGTGGTGCTATTGTGGGACGGCTAACCAGAGCTGGTTTGGGGCAATTCTTCATATTTCCTTTTAAGCATCAAATGAAATACTGAAAGTTTTTAATGCTTGTGATTAGAATGACTATGGAAAGTACAATTGGCCCACACCAGATTCTGCTCTAAGAATCAAAAAGAGGTGTACCAGTTGGTTAACATGCACATACCATTGTTTGAGGGGCTCTCTGATGGAGACATGATGAACCATCCTTATATAGTGGCACTGCAAGTTATTTAGGGGGCCTGGCATGGAGTGACTCACATATCCACATCTGTAGGCCCAACCCACAGCAGCAACATGATGCCACACGCGTTGTTGTGTTCCTGGGTCCTCACTAATTCTCTCTTGTCTGCATCCCTTTCTTTCCTCTCAGGAACTTCTTCATTCTTTACTCTTAGAACCTTGCAGCATGGAATAATGCAAATAATCATAACCAACATGTATTACACACTTGGCATGTATAACCATTTTGCCGAGCACTTTACAGAAATCATTCATCCAATAAATATTTCCTGGGGACTATAATATGTTAGAAAATGCTCCCGGTGCTGGGGATACAGAATAAAACAGACAAAAATCCCTACCCTCATGGAATTTACATTCTCGAGGGAGATAAAGAGAATTTTAAAAGTAAAATATTGGATAGGGAGAAGATGGTAAATGCTCTGTAGAAAAATCAAGGGAGGAAGGGTGCTAGGTAGTATTGGTGAGGGCCCAGGAGGGGAGTGTGGCTCTTTTAAATAGGGTGAGTGGTGAAGATTTCCTGAAGAGTGATCCGTAGGACATCTCTATAGGACATGTAATATTGTTATCTTCATTTTACAGGTGAAGAAACTGAGGCTTAGCATATAAAAACTTTTTTGCAAAAATAGATCTCTTAGTTATTCATAGGTTAGAGTCTATCTCTCCCAGAAGTATTTGTTATCGCTTTCTTCCTAGCTGCAGAATGCAAAGCAATTGTACACAGTTGAGGAATTGTAACATGAGGGTTAGGGATATGCCAAAGGTGTGAGATAGAGGAACAGTTACATTTCCTATGGTTCCTATAGTCAGAATGGCTTAGTTGGCCTGCTGACCCGGTCTCCCTCTTGAGTGAAGATCAACCTCTGCATGATGCTAGGCAGGGTTCTGTGGCCATAGAATAGACTTAAAAAAGAAATCGCAGCCAATTTTTAAAAGTGGATTTTGGGGGCGCCTGGGTGGCTCAGTCGGTTAAGTGTCTGCCTTTTGCTTGGGTCGTGGTCCCGGGGTCCTGGGATGGGGCCTCACATCGGGCTCCCTGCTCGGTGGGGAGCCTGCTTCTCCCTCTCCTCCTGGCTCGTGCTGTCTGTCTCAATCTCTCAAATAAATAAATAAAAATCTTTTTTAAAAAGTGGATTTTACTTTTTAGAGCAGTTTTAGATTCACAGCAAAACCGAGCAGAAAGTGCAGAGAGTTCCCATACACCCATACACCCCCGTCCCCCCCCCCTCCACAGCCTCCCTGACTATCCACATCCTGCTAGACTTTTTATTTACTCCCTCCCTGTCTTGCTTCTTTCTTAGGAATGAAATCTGGTCTACAGATTCAAATAATGTTACTCACTAGATGCTGAGTCCCCCCATGCACACCTGGGCTGCCCTGTCTGTCGGGGGCCTGCCACTGTCCCTCATAAATGGGGGGCCCGGTGCCTGCACAGGGGGTCAGAAGGACACACAGGGATCGCAGACAGATGGCCGGGTTCCTGAGTGCTGGCATGCCCATGAGCTGCAGCTGAGGCCATCCCCGCTTAGTAGCCCTGTCGATTCAAGCAACTTTCTCCTCCAGGCCAAGGTTTTGATTTCTTTTCTAGGAATTTCCCAGCCCTGGATTTCCCCTTTTGCTTTTGAGTTTCTCATCCTAAGTTGGCTCTGCTTGCCCTCCAGACTTGCCTAAAAGCTCCTTATTTAATGTTGAACCTTGAGTAAAATTCTCATCTGCCACAGCACGCTGAGTCATGGTGATGTGACTCCTCACTGACTGGAAGCTGCTTTTCAGACGGGTGGGCTTTCCCTGTGGCTGGCAGGAAGCAGCCTCCAGCCAGACGCCCACACCTCTGGGCAGAGCCATTTCTAAGAAGCCTTCGGGGTGGAAATGTGTCAGCCACCAGGAGGGTGGAAGAGAGGCATGGGGGTGGGAGTGACATCATGCCTGATCCTGCTGGATTTGAGGGGAGGTCATGCATGCTTGAGCTTGACATTTTAGGGAGAAGGAGTTGAACTCATTGATGAGCTTTCTTTACTTGAGAGTCACGGGATGAGGTCACACTTGGGTTTACCTTATTCCGGAGAAGAAAGAATGAGATCATGCTGCGTGTCCTTTATTTGGGGTCCAGGAGTGAGGGGAGAGGGTACACCATACTAGAATGCACCTCATTTAAGAGGCTGAGGAGGTGGTGAAGCTCCTTAGCCTCCACGTGGAGGTTTGCCTTCCTCCTTGCAGAGCTTGCTTTTCCTCACTTTCAGAAAGGAATCTGGGGCCGAAGCACCCCCAGCTCCCTTGCCCTCACTTTGCCTGACTGAGATGCTCCGCCTGGGACTGGGCTCCGAGAACCTCACAGAACTGCACCTGCCTTCCCTACAGACAGAGGGCGCTGCGCAGAAGCAGGAGGATCCATCAGGCAGCCGGCTTAACAGGACTGCCTTCAGGTGAAGTGCTCTAAGGCTACATTATTCATCCAAGAGGACATACTAGTCATTTTCTCAGACAAAGGCAGAGATCAATGGTATGATTTGGAAACAATGTCATAGGTGAGCAACTATGGAAACAATAAAAGGTAGGAGTGACCACATAAATTATTCACATTCACTCATTCACCCCATTCAACAAATAATTATTGAATATCAACTGTGTGCTAAGCACTAGGCCTTGGGGATACAGGCAAGTTTGGCTTTTGTGGAGCTTAAATTAATATTATACACTGTACATTTGAATTCTCCAAGGAATCTAATTATAGCCGCAGAACAAGGGGGAGGGGGCAACAGATGAGTCCTGCTGCCCCCTTGCGGCAGGATTAGACTTACTAAGTTGAGCTCTCAAAATCGTGAAATCGCTCATTCATTTACACTGCCTCTGTCTCAGCATCTGTTTAAAATACACGTAAAAATAATATACGTAGATCTGTTTATTTACAGGCCTCTCATACTGTCCTTCTTTTCCCTTTCATACTGAGACCTACAAAATACCCAGTCCTGCCCCACACTGGTGTGGTCACATAATAGTGACCGTCAGAATAGTCTTCTGGGACCTCTAGTTGCCGTTGCCTGTCATTGACTAACCTCCATCTCTTCTTCTAGGCCCAAACCCCATTACCCACCCAAGGTAACCTTAAAAATAGAAGATGGCTTTCTCTTCCTCTAAGGATCTGCCAGAACCAGAGGAGATGAAGAAGTCATTGCTAATTAATGAAGTTTCCAAATGTCAAAACAGAAATCAGTCCTGTCACTAAACACAACTGGAAGTGAAATGTGTGAGTAGAGTTGCCTAGACAGTTCATCTGCGAATCCCAGGAGAGCATCGAGGGAGATTCAGGAGCAGAGAATGGCTCCTGCTGTGACAGTAAGTATGAGGCTTGACTCATAGGAGAGGAGGAATGGGAAAGACATGAAATGCCTTTTTTTTTTTTAAGAAAAATTACCCAAATCAATTTATTTTTTAAAGAATGGCATGTCATCAGCCTTATCAGCCTTTTTTTTTTTTTTTTTTTTTAGAGAGAGAGAGCGCACACGTGGCAGGGGGAGAGGGGCAGAGGGAGAGGGAAAGAGAGAATCTTAAGCAGGCTCCATGCCCAGCGCAGAGCCCAATTCAGGGCTCAATCTCACAACCCTGGGATCATGACCTGAGCTGAAATCAAGAGTCAGACGCTTAACCGACTGAGCCACCCAGGTGCCCCCCAAATCAATTTAATTAACATTGAAAAAATATAAATAAACCCTGGCATGGGAAAATATCATAGACAAGATAATTAATATATACACAGACAATAAGGAGAAGTGTGGTGCCCTTGATACAGTATAAATACGCAAATAGCAAAACCCAATCCCCTTCCCAAGGACAGAACCACCAGGTCCCCCTGCCATTTCTGGACCTCCCCCACCTCCCACCTAGCCCTCAGTGATGAAGTTCACCTCTGATGCACAGCCATCACCCTTATCCATGGAGAAATCTATGAGCCTCCAAGATGAGCTAGAGGAGAAGGGAGGTGGCAGGACACTTACACCTCCAGGGAATTACCAGGCAGAGTAGGATACTAGACATTTGTCCAGACTACACAGAGATGTGCCAGGCCCTTGGAAGCCAGATCTCGGATGCTGACCTGCGAGCCTTGGATGGGGTCCAGTATTCCCAGTCTATATACCTAGTCAGCCTCCCTTTTTCCCTTCCTCCCTCCCTTCCTTTCTTCCTTCTGTGTAGTAAGTAGAGTATAAAGAACATAATTTAATCTGTTTCAGTTGATAATAAAAATCCTTCTGGAATTTCAAATTCACCATTAGGAATTATTTTCATCAGATATAATGACAGATACTGATGTAGAAAGTCTGGAGACTAGTCTGAATTGTCAAAACCTTGAGAAATATCCTGAAAGTTGGTTGTCAGAAATTCTTAATTCACAGTCACTTTCTAGAGATTTTTCATTCTCTCCTAAACGTCAAAGGCAGAAGAATTTCTGATTAGCTGAAGTTTCTGGTTGTTTAGTCTCTGGTAGAAGCTTTCCTTGCCACTGTCCTCTTCTTTTCCAGATACATCAGGGTTAAAATATTGGGAAGAACTTAACAGGGGGAAAATGTCTTCTATTTACATAAACCATCCACATATCTGGCTGCAAAATCATCTTCATATACATAATTATCTCTGGTTGAAACATTTTATCCTGATTAATTAAAGCACTTCTGCTGCTCCCAATAGCAGAGGAGAGTTTCTGGAAAGGACTCCAAAGTCATTTTGCCTCCTTAAAAGCTCTGTGGTCCACACGTCTAGACTGGTAAATGCCTTCCACCAATTTAATGATTCCATCTAGTATAACAGAAGTGTGGCAATTACATACTTTAAGTTACTTCTGTTATAATTGAACACTACCTACATAATTAACAACCTCAATTAAAAAAAAAAGTTTTTCTATTTTAAAAGCCACAGAATTTCATTGTAGAAAAGTATAAAATACAGAGAAACAAAGAAGAAAATAAAAATCAACTAAGTTATAAATACCATTAATATTTTGGTGAATATCCTTCAGTACTTTTTTCTACTCATACAATTTTTTACTATTCAACTGAAAGCTTACATTCTCATAGGGATTTGATTTTTTTTTTTCCACTAAAAAATAGATCCCAAACATTTTGCCCATGTAGTTAAGTATTCATATGCAACAGGACATTTAATGTCTATGTGGTTCTCAGTTGTTAGTTGTAATTTATTTAATAAATCTACTGAGAACCTCAATTAGATTGTTGTCATTTTTTTCACTGTTGTATGTAACCCAGACTTGGATAGCATTGTGCATAAATCTTTTCAAGAATCCCTAATCACTTCTTCTTTTTTTTTTTTTTTTAAAGATTTTATTTATTTATTTGAGAGAGAAAGAGAATGAGCAAGGAGAGGGGCAGAGGGAGAGGGACAAGCAGACTCCTTGCTGAGCCGGATGTGGAACTTGATCCCAGGACCCTGGGATCATGACCTGAACCGAAGACAAACGCTTAACCAACTGAGCCACCCAGGCGCCCCCTAATCACTTCTTTATGGCAAAGTCCCAGAAACAGAATAGCCGGCTGACAGGGATTAAACATTTTCAAGTCTTTTGCTAAAAATACTGCCAAACTGGCCTCCAGAATGTAAGGATGTATATACTTTCATTCTCTTAAATGAAGGGGGGGAAATTGGAGGGGTAGATGAACCATGAGAGACGATGGACTCTGAAACAAACTGAGGGTTCTAGAGGGGAGGGGGGTGGGAGGATGGGTTAGCCTGGTGATGGGTATTAAAGAGGGCACGTTCTGCATGGAGCACTGGGTGTTATGCACAAACAATGAATCATGGAACACTACATCTAAAACTAATGATGTAAGGTATGGGGATTAACATAACAATAAAAAAATTTAAAAAGAGAGTGACTCCCATCTTCAACAGCATATGGTCTTTTACTAATTTGGTTGTTGAAAATGGGAATCTCATTTTCACTGAAAGGACTTTGAATACTAGTGAGGTGAACACTGTTTTATGCATTTAATTGGCTATTTGTATGCGGGCTCTGGGGAATGGTCCATTCATGCCATCTACTCAATTTCCTTCTGTGAGGGTTATCTTTTACTGATTGGTTTGTAGGTAGCTAATTGGTCTTTTCTACAGTCAGACAATTTCCAAAGTTGAATTTTATGGCAATGTTTGTTTTACATGCTTCCTTTTTGTCACTTTCTCTGGGAAGTTCATGGAAATGAACCCATGCTAAAAACTGGCCAAATTAGTTTGCTTAATTTACAAGTAATCTTTTTTTTTTTCTAAGAGAACTCATGGAATTACTCTGTTTTGAAATTTTGCAGCGACTCCTTTCCACCTTTATCTATTTATTTTTTTTAATATTTTATTTCTTTATTTGACACACACACAGAGCACAAGCAGGGGGAGAAACAGGCAGAGGGAGAGAGAAGCAGGCCCCCCACAGAGCAGGGAACTGGAAACGGGACTCAATCCCAGGACCCTAGGATCATGACCTGAGCTGAAAGCAGATGCTTAACAGACTGAGCCACCCAGGCGCCCTCCTTTCCACCTTTAGAATGAAAATAAAACTTACCAGAAAAAACGAGGATCTAGCAGCGGACCTCACCTGCTGCTATGCTGTTTAATACAGTAGCCAGAGTGGCTCTTTTGTTAACTGTTCTTATCACACACACACACAGAATAATAATAAATAAAGAGGGCAGGAGCAAAGCTTTGGAGGTGATGATTTCCCAGGTGTATACTTATCTTCAAACTCATCAAGTTGAATATATCGATTCTTCACAGTTTTTTATATGTCAATCATGATGTGGAGAACAAAGGCAAAAGGAGATATAGACAAAATTAAATTTCCTTACAACTTGCAGCCCATTGACAGATACTTGGGACAGGCAGAGTATGACGTTCCTCCAGGAACTCCCAACTGTCTTAGTGTTAATGCTTTGCTAAAGGCAAAAAGCAACCTTGGCTTGACAATAGCCAGACCTCCAGCATCCTGTAAGTCTTCTTTAACATATGGAAATCAGTTTTTGGAAACTTCTTTGTCTCTACCCACCCCCCACAACTTAAAAGTATAAAACCAGTAGCTCCTTAAAACCCCAGTCAGTGTAGGTCTTTCTGCCCATGGGTTCTATCCCTATGCTTTAATAAAACCACGTTTTTTTGCACTGAAGATGCCTCACGAATTCTTTCTTGACCATTCACTCCCAGACCCCACATCAAATCACATCAAATCATACTTCAATAAAGGGGTATTAAAGAGGGCATGTATTGAATGGAGCACTGGGTGTTATACGCAAACAATGAATCATGGAACACTACATCAAAAACTAATGATGTACTGTATGGTGATTAATATAACATAATAAAATTAAATTAAAAAAAGATACAGTAGCCACTAGTCACATGTGGCTATTTAATTTTAAATTTAAAAAAAGAAATAAAATTAAAATTTCGTTCTTCACTTGCTTGATAACCACGTGTAGCTTGTGGCTACCATTTTGGACAGCACAGATATAGAACTTTTCCATCACTGCAGATAGTTCTGGACAGCACTGATCAACAGATTTCATTTTCCAGTCTCTGGGTCTGCTCCTTCTCTTGGCTTATGCTTGGAATGCCTTTCTCCTTTTCTTTGGCTCATTTCCACACATTCTTCAACATACAGCTCAGATGCCACCTACTCTGGGAAAGCGTCTCCTGACCACGCCTGTCCCTAGTCTGGATGGCAGGCTCTTCTGTGGCCCATAGAGCTCTGGCCACAGCGTGCCTGCTATGGCCAACCACGGACGTCACTTCACTTGTCTTTGCCCCCTACCAATTCAGTGAGGGAGGAGTACATGCCTTTAACTTCGGATTCCGCAGAACCCAGCATAGTTTCTGAAAAATGGACAAAGCTTGGTGTACTATATGGACTGCCCACAATTTGCCCCACCCCGTGCAAATGCAATGGCTTTTTCTTAAAAATTCTCAGGAACTAGGGGTGCCTGGGTGGCACAGGGGTTAAGCCTCCAACTCTTGGTTTTGGCTTGGGGCGTGATCTCAGGATCCTGGGATCAAGCCCCATGTTGGGCTCCCTCAGCGCGGAGTCTGCTTGAGTTTCTCTCTGCTCCTCCCCTGTGTGTGCATGCTCTCTCACTCTCAAATAAATAAATCTTTAGAAAAAATTCTCAAGATCTAAAATACATACAAAAAGAAGTATTCAAGGAGCAACACATGTTCTAAAGAATAATACAACGATTATAATAAAGTAATGAAATACATGGGTGTACTTTATGAGCTGCCTCAGGGAAGATAGTTACAAGGGCAATATCATACCTTTTCTCCTGTTAGAGATATAGACATAGTATCTTTATGCTTCAACACATGTGTATCATTGGAAAAATTACAAACCATATCCTCTTAATAATTTTCACCAAAAATAAAAGACTATGAAAACTTATCTGTTATCATTAGTCTTCTGGAGTCTCTCCGGGGTCTTCATCTCATTTTCTTTCTAAAGTTACAGCATATTTTACTGGCAGAATATGCATTTTTGAGCAACAGGCTTTTTTGAGCAACTGGCCCAAGATATATTTTTCCTTTTAAATTAAAAAAAAAAATCACAATTAATACATATTTCTTAGAGGAAAAAAATTAAAAATACTGTTACATATAAAGAATAATGGATAACTCAATCTTACCACCAAATGACAATTTCTGTTTGCATTTGGCACATAACCCCCCAATTTTTTAAAATCACAGATATATATATTTTTGTTTCTTGCAAAAGTGAGATCATGCTGTACTTGGATTTTTTTTCAATTGACACATCATGAATAAATTTTTATGTCAATAAATATGCCTATAACATAATTTTCAATGTCTATCTAGTGTTTCATTGTAAAAATGTGCCATTAAAAAAATCACTCTCTGTTTTTTGCAAGTTTAGATGATTTCTAACTTCCTCTCGCCCCCACTTTTGATAACAGTGCTATGCTGGATGGCTCTCCTTCTGACTAAATGTTTTCAGAGATCTGAACCTCTCCAAGGAAGAAACAAGCAATGCTTTTCTTTTGGGGTTTTAGAGTGTGTTGGACAGAGGTGGATATAAACCTGCCCAGGCCAATCCAGGAACAAAGCAACCAAATTAATGGGTCCAGAGCATTATTCTGAGGTCAGTGGCTGCTGGTAGTAGGTTCCCTAGAAAACAGTCTGGGGCAATACTTACCTGCTAATGCCTCTTTGGGAGGTGTAATGGCAGGGTTATAAAAATGAGGGAAAAAAACAATTGAGGCAGAGAAGGAGGAAAGTGAATACTGGTTAATGAGTTGGTCACAGCTTCATGGTAGAATACAGCAGTTTCTTGCTGATGTGGGACATCTCTAGCAGGGCGCACCCAACAGTTGAGTTTGGGGATGATCGGTAGGAGGGAGGAAGAGTATATTTCCCAGCTCCCTGTGGTCTCCTTTCTGTTTTTGGTTCAGGTAAATCCCACTAGGCATGACTGCCTCCACTTCTGGGTTCTGTCACCTGGTCCCTCTGGACAGCCATGGCCGAAGCAGTTTGACACTGGGATGCTGTGCTTCCTTTGTGTCTGAAAGTGGTTGGAAGAGGGAGGGGCTCCCTGGGTCTGATCAGGGAGAACGCAGGTGACAGAGATGCTCCCACTGTGGCAGGCTCCCAGGGGTCCTGCCAGGATCTGAGCCTCACCCTGGGGGAAGCAAGGGAGTGAGAAATACACTGAGAAATGATACCAGCAGAGGAGGGGGACTACCTCTAGCTTTTCAACTTGTACTTTTCCTTGGAGGCCCATCAAAGCCCTTGGTTTTGAGAAAAAAGGGATTCTGTGGAGGGCTATCCACACGAAACACCAAGACCCAGTCTCCCCAGGAGGTAGGACAGGAATGCAGCGTTGTAAAGGACGGGAAAAGGAAATTAAGTTCTGTGGGCAGGAAAGCTCCACCTTTCCTTTGGGGACAGAAAAAGAGCAAGAGGTCAGATGGGGACGCTTGGCTGAGCCGAGCCATGCCCTCCTCCACATCTCTTGGTCTGGACCATCCAGCCTGCAGGGCAAGCAGGCAGCCTGGGCTCACCCAAGAGCAGGCTTCAGAAGGGGTGGGCAGATACAAAGTGTGTACATCCTCGTGTGCCCTGAGATCAACAGTACCTCCAAATGATGACCCCGATACCCCAAAGGGCAGGGGCAGAAGAAGGAGGAGAGATAGGTCCTGAGACTTACAAGTAGAGTTCAGTTTAATTGAGTGGTTTCCTTTATGACCTTCCACACTCGAAACAGGGCAAATTTCCTGCAATTAGCTGGGATATTTAAAAAAAAAAAATGGCAGCAAAGCAAAGGAAGAAACTAGGGTATGAAAGAAGAGGAAGAAGCAGGGACAGAGGAGAATGAGTCCGCTGGGTGGTTTCCCTGAGGTGTCCTAATGCCAAGGACAAGTTCAAGCAACACTTTGTTTGTGAGTCTCATTATGTGTGGCCAAGTTTGCTCTGGGCATTGTCAGTCTGCCGACGATGCTTGGCTTCCCCTTGCAGCTTTTGGTTTTCTGCAGGACCAGATGGTAGTTTTTTTTCTTTTTACATGGATTTGAAAACAGAGAGGAAGCTCTCAGACAGACTTTGTAAGATTATCCAGGCTTTGGATGTAACTGAGGATGGGCTTAAATTCTTTCCCATTTCCCATTGCCTGAAGGATGAGCTCTCTGGTAAGGGTGGCTCACACAGGACACCTGCAAGCTGATCTACCATGTCTTCCCATCTGCACCTTCCATCTCTTCAGTGGCTCATGATCCTTCTCTGACACCATGTGGTCTTGCAGGCTTCTGTACCCACCCAGAAAGCTCTTCCCCCACAGTCCTCTCATTTCTGCCCAGGGTGTCACATGCATCAAGAGTCAGCTCAGGTTTGCCTCCAGAAAGCTTTCCTATCTCCAGGTGAATCTGACCACACCCTTCCTTGCATTCGTGTAGTGTGAGCTCTTGTAACACATTCTAGCTATCAAATACTTGTCTGTCATTTTCTGTCAGATTAGGAACTGCTTGAAAACAAGGATCATATTCATTTTTGATCCTTTAGCACCTAGAACAGTGTCTGGAACCTGGAGTGCACTTAGAAAACGCAGTTGGTGGAGAAAGAGACTGTGTTTCCAGAATACCAGGTTTATATACTTGCTACCCCACTCATCATGCTGCCCATGGGTACTGTTTCCCTGTGACTCTCCTGGCATGCCCCAGCTCCTTGAGGTCAAAGCTACAAGCTTACTACCTTTAAGAAAATGTCTAGCACATCTAGGTGTTAAATACATGTTGGCTTTAGGAAAATGTACAATACCGTAGGCTACTTCTTACATTACCCAGAGTTCAGTTCCCAGTCATTGTGATGCTAGCAAATCTCCTGAGTGCAAGCACTGAGCTAGGCACATCGCATGCATCACACTACTAACCATCACAACAGCCCTTAAGTTGGGTATCCCCTCCCTGCTGTCCGTTTTACAGAGGAGGAGACCATGATTCGAGGAGCGAAGGGCTTTGCTCCAATACACACATCCAGACAGTGGCAGAGATGAGAGGTCAACTCTGGTTTGAATTCAGATGCTATGAGGTGGCCAGAGTTTTGGCTTAGCCTTCACCCCTGGAATTTCCAACTACCTGTCACCATTTGAACTTCTGGAGAAAAGGGAACAAGTCATCCTTCCCTAACTCCACCCATGTCTCCTCACAGCCCCGTAACTGCCGCACGATAGAGCTAACCATCCCCTTGGTGGACTATATATATGATTGCATTGTCACTTCATGTTACTCTCTTGCTATCAAACCATGGGGCATACCATAGAGACCCTGAAAACAGCTATGACTTATGGCTGAGGATACAAGTAGAATTTCCAGAGCACAGATTGTCTTTACCTGGATTGGAACCAGTACTAGTGATAAACTATGAAAATAGATTTGTAGGGGCGCTTGGGTGGCTCAGATGGTTGGGAGACTGCTTTCGGCTCAGGTCATGATCCTGGAGTCCCTGGATCGAGTCCCGCATCGGGCTCCCTGCTCGGCGGGGAGTCTGCTTCTCCCTCTCACCCTCCCCCCTCTCATGTGCTCTCTCTCTCTCATTCTCTCTGTCTCAAATAAATAAATAAAATCTTAAAAAAAAAAAAAAAGAAAATAGATTTGTAATTTAACAAGGACAGAATTGGAGGTAATATCGGCATGGGGATACCTAACATTTTAGCGCTTCCTGGGAGGGGCAGAATATGGATGCCTTTAATATAAACAGAGACCAGAGAGTTTACATTAACTGTCTCAAGGTTATACATCAGGTAAATGGATAGTGAGGATTTGAATTCACTTTGGATTCCAGGGCCTGTGTTGGAAATGCGGGTCAGACCTAAATTCTGGTGGGCCTTGAAATACAGACTAAGGTCTGCAGACTCTATTAAGAAGACAGCGAGAAGGTTTTGAGCAGAGGAGCTGTAAGATCAGAATGACACTTTGGAAAACCAGCCTAGCAACAGAGAAGAGGAGAAAGTGAGGCTGGAGGGATGAGCAGCTTGTGGGGGGGACCATTTAGGGAGCTGCTGCCAATAGTTGTGCTTCGATGAAGTTTGCTCTCAGACACATCAAGCCTGAGATGACAGGACAGGAGGAAATGCCCAGAAGGCAGCTGGAGGTGAGAGGCGGAGGGCAGTGGTAACGAGGGGTGCAGCTCTGCGAGTTGCTATGGAAAGGCAGCAGACATCACCCTGAAAGTCATGAGGTCACCAAAGGCTCCTGTGAGGACCAAAGGGGACAAAGGGCTGAGGATGAAACTTGGAGATCTGGCATATTCAGAGGGAAGAAGAAAGGCAGGGAATTCGAAGAAGACGGGAGGAACATCAGAGAGGTGCAGCCCAGAGCAAGGACTTGCAGCAAACAGGCTGACAAAATAATTTAACAGCAGAAGCCAGCATCCCCTTTAGGGAATTGTGCTGAGAGAATCTTTGATAAGCTGCCAGGGTGGAAGAGGTGAGTGAGGAGGTCCATAGCGGAAGGCCACGGAAGAATGGGGAAAGTTAGACTGCCCTGCACTGGACTGAGGAATTTGAGCTGGGGGTGGGGTGTGGAGCAGACAAGAGAGAGGGGAAAGGGAAAGGGGGGTGGAGGAGAGGTGGGAAAGTGCGGGGAGGTGGAGGAATAGTTCGTGGACAGGCTGAGGGCTTTTACAAATATGAGTCAGGAAAGTGGCCTGAGTGGTTCTTGTGAATGCTCTGCTCTCTCCCCAAACTTTCACTAGAGTCTCCCAAACGCACCAAAGCCTGGTGTGTGTGTGCTGGGGGAAATCAAAGAACAGGGCAGGTTCCTCTTCTGGGTCTGGAAGAATGATCAAACACGTGGAACCGTGAGGTGATGCCTGGAAGACATTCCATAGAAGCAGAGGTTCAGAGCCAGTGGCCTGAAGCAGTAGACACACCGAAAATGTGTGGAGGTCTGGGGAGGGCGCAGGACCCCTGGGATGGGGGTATAGCCAATGTCCTCTAAATCTTAAGAGACATCCAGACTCCAGCTAACCTCTGCGGTATGACCTTATGAGGGAAGATGTGCCATGAAATAGTTAT